TTTTTTTTTTTTTTTTTTTTTTTTTTCGTTCCTTCCTCCGTTTCTCTGTCTCTTTTTCTAATGCTTCTTCATGTGAATAATCTCTTGTCACAAAAATTAAATATATTAATACGTACAAAAGACAGCCATTAAATTTTATAAAAACTTGAAAATAAATACTAAGTCAAAAAATTGAGTCATGACGACGGTCAAAATAAAAATGTCTTAAGCTAATCAAATTGCTCATCTCATCAAACATTTGCAGAGAAGAGCACCCCTTAAGTCTACAAGTCTGCAATTTGTAGAGTGTCAAAAAGGATTTTGGTAGTGTTTCTATTCTGCTTCTCGAGAGGTCAAGGTATTTCAAATGCTTTAATTTGCCAAGAGTACTGGGCAGCCGTCCTCCCGTAGCTCCCACTATTTTTAAAGCTCGCAAGCTTTTGAGATCAGATGCACTGGAAATGAAAACATCAACCTCTTCCAAGAACAAAGAATGCAATCTTTGAGCAACAGCCCTAGGAATGATTGGTGGATGCTCGTTCTTGTCATGCTTAACTCTTAAATGTCGAATTTTAGCATCCTGGTCAATTATGCAACCAGTCTCCCAGACCAAAGTCTCACCTTTTGATACAGACAATGATAAATCATGCACTGCATCATGCATCTTGCAAGATATAATATTCCCATGTCCGTCCCTTCTGACATCTTGAAATAAGGAGTTGGATAACAAACCATTAAAGTAATCATTGCCAACATCCTCCATTGTCTCAGAGCTTTCGTTGGGTTGGTAGAGAAATCCCTGAGCCATCCAAAGTTGAACTAAATCCTCTTTTTCAATGACAAAATCCTTTGGAAAAATTGAACAGTAAGAAAAGCATTTTTTCAAAGGAGAAGTCAAACGATTGAAACTTATTTTCAAAATAGATAAAATCTTATCTCCATCTCGTGAATTCAAATTCCATGCTTTATCATCTCTGATATCCTTCCATTCATCTGCACTAGTTCGATGGCTCAACGTTCCTCCAATGACACTAGCAACTAATGGCAAACCTCTACATTTTCTTGCAATATCCTGTCCAATAGCTTCCAAATCAGGAGTTATTGAAGTTTCTGTGGATGATCTAAGAGATTTCTCTTTTATTATCAACCAACATACATCATCTGATAACCTCTCCATGTCATAGTGTTCTATAGGAACTGGCTTCATCGCAGATGCTACCTTTCCACTTCGAGTTGTTATGACAACAGAGCTCCCATTAGTCTTCAGAATTTTTAACAAACAAGAGCTGAAATGCTCCCCCTTGTCAGGATCTTCATTCCATACATCATCAAGAATGAGAAGAAAAGTTTTATTCTCTAATTTTTTTGCAAGATTTTCAAGCAATGCATTAATACTATTCCTTGGGGCAGCACCACAACCAAAATGCTCTGACATCTCTCCCAAAATGATTTGATCATTGAAGTCCTCGGATACACACACCCAGGCCGCTAGATCATAGAGCTTTTCTTCCTTTGCTTTCATGTATATTGATTTTGCTATTGTCGTCTTTCCAATCCCAGCCATACCTACAATAGAAACGCCAGAGATGGGATGTTGACTTCTCAAGTCACGCAACAAGCTAAGAATTCTTGAGACATCAACTTCCCTTTCGAATACCGTGGAATTATCAAGAAAAGAATCTGTCTTTTGATGTTGCCTCAGACAAGTTTGGCCTCTCAATAAGACCACCAAGTTGATCATGCTGGCCCAGTCTTTCAAGTCATTCAACTGCTTGGTAATGTTATTGATTTTGTCAGCCATACGATTACGAAACAAGGGAGAAAAGTTGACGGACTCAGGATTCCAGCGCCTGCGACTCTTAACTTTGTCCTCAAGAACCTCGTACTCAAACTCACCCAATGCATCCACTGCCTCATAAGCTACGTCTTTCAGCTTCTGTAGCCAATGCCTTATAGCTGGTTCACTTTCTTGCCTTTCCTCTGCGTGTTGGATGACAGATTGAATGAGAATAAGAGAATCACCAAGCCTATCAAGCTCCTTTTCCAAACCCACTGCAATTCCGATTCGTTTTTTAAGAAATGAAACTGTTTTGGAAATTGCCTCCTCAATGACAGGGCTGAGGATGTTGAGGGCGATTTCAGCCATTATGATTGGACACAGGGAAAGATTCAAACACAACTGAATTCTGAAACACAATAAAACATGCAGAATAATTACATGAGTAGATATGTATATGGCGAAAATGAAATGTAGAAGAAGATTATGCAGGAATTTCATTTCAGAAACTTACAAAAGAAATATTTGGATATTTTGTACTTTTTCAGTGATTTCTCCTTTCCAAATCTAACTAAGCAACCAAAGAAATTAAATGTTTTTGACTAATGAGAATTGACGTAATGTTGTACGTTGAAGCAATAGAATAACATGGAGCATATATTTTTATATATCATATTAACTAAAAGAAAGAGAAAAACAAAATAAAAAAGGATTGCAGAAGCAATAAAAGAAATCAGCATCTCATGCTTTCAACAGTTTTGATACCACATAAAAAGAATTAAAGCACGGAAAATAAAAATGGGTTACCTTAACATATAATTTAAAATTTAAAATTTACACTCATAATTATATTAATTATATCTTTTAATGATATGACTTAAATCTTAAAATATCTCTATCATGATATAACATTGTGCAATTATGTTTAATTTTGTTATATATATATATATATGAGAAAAATACATATCAATCTCGATTTTTAAAATAAATTAGAGTCTTATCTTGAAATGATATCATTTTATTTAATTAAAACTCGATTCAAAATTCAAAAATCTACCTTATTAAATATTAATATATAGATTTGGAAACTGATTATATTAAAATATATAATTAGTTTTCACATGTAGGTATTAATATTTAATAGAGTGGATTTCTGAATTTGAATTAAGATTTTAATTTCTATATGTAAATTGAAACTCTAATTTTCTTTTAGAGTTAAAATTAATATGCACTATCCTATATATGAATAGAAATCTATTTACATACAAATCTTGCACATGCTTAGACAAAATCTTGACCATTTATTTTTCCATTTTTAATAGTTGAGATTTATTTATGACTTTTTAAATAAAAAAGATAATTATTTTTAATAAACATAATAAAAAATTAATAATCTTAATCATTGAAAGTGAAAAGATAGATAATCAAGATTTTGTATAAGTGTAGTATATAAGATTTATATATAAGTGAATCCCTACTATATATATAAGTGAATCCCTACTATATATACTTATATATATAAATGCTAAACCCTCCAATATTCGAAAGTCATATTGAATTCCAATTAATCTAGAGTTGAGCTGCACTGTATCTCATAGGGAAGAAGCTCTCCAAGTGTTTATCTCTTCAATAACAAGACTTAAACTCAAAATTTTACTTAAGAATAATCTAGTTTCTTCGATTGACTCGAACTCACATGTCATTGATTACATATATATTACTCAAATATTTATGCGTTTATGATATTTATATATTATTGTAATATTACCAGAGTAGAAAATGAAATTTATTTTTTATCCTATAGAAAAATTTGAAACTATAGTACGTGATGTCAAATACACGTATGCGGTCAACATAGCACTTAAAGATTGACTGTTAGTTATTTGCCGTCACTTTCTGGTGTCAATTATGTCAAATGTTTATGTTTTTTTTAATGTAGTGTAAAATATTATTTGACACAAGTTTATTTTATATAGATAATTGACAACACTAATCTTGTGCCAATTAATTTTATGATATCATATATTAAGTATTTGACATTGTATGGCCATTTTTCTAGTAGTGTAATTAATTGGATCTTTCCTTAGATAACAGAGTCACCTAAATGATGGATTTAGGCCATTCACCTTTATGCATCAATGAGAACATAACAGAGTCAAGATTGAAGATCAAGACAATTAGTGTCACCAACAAGTTTAGCAGAAGAAATTGAAGAAATGGATGTGGATAACCAAATTAAGCCAACCAAATTACAAGTGGCAGCCCATCAGCTTATAAAGTCAATTTAAAAACAATTTAAAAATGAGTAATATCCTAACTCTAGTGAAGAGTCTTTGCTAATAAGGTTATGTGCATTTGCAAGAAAATTTAGATATTTTCATTTCATATCTTAAAGAAAATATAACTCAATCAAGATCAAAGATTTAAATGACATACCTGTATGTTTCACCAAAAAAATTGCTGAAAATGGATACTGATAACCAAATCAGCTATGCCAAGAGAATTAGGAGTAGCAGCAAATCAGTTCAATTGCAAGGCTAATTCAGTGAGATGATAAAAAGTGAGCTGGCTAGTAGAAGAGGAGAGAACTTGTCCAAATTATAGTTTGAAATTTCCTGGAAGATGCTTGGCAAATGCCAATGAAATTAATGAAACTGCAAAAAAGATATCCAATGAGGTTACAATAAGAATGATGCAAAATTAGTTTATTATTATAAAGTGATCAATAATTGTGCAACTACTTCGTATTATAACATATCAAAGAAAGACTTAGGTATGGAAGGGGAAAGACAGTATGACTATGTACAATTACGTTGTATGTTAAATTGTAACTAATTTATTTTAATTGAAATGTAGGAAAGCTAATTTTGTTCAATTTAAAAGTATAAGAGGAGATTTATTTTAAAATATATAAAAGTTCATTTTGGTAATCCTAAAAGTAAATGGGTAAATATACCATTTTAACTTTTTGTCTATTCTAAAAATAAGTTTCAATCATTTGCCTCCTCCTTTGAATAAATGTTTCCTCACTGTTCAATATTTCCAAAAAATTTTATCTTAAAAAAATGATGTTTTAGTTGTAAGGGATTCCTTCATCTACCTAATAAAAACTTTGTGACAATGAAGGACATTGCTAATTAGTCTTGACAAAATGTATGATGCGGTGAATGATTTAACATTGTTTAAGGTGATAATTTTGTCTGGCAGTCCAGTGGCAAAATATATTACAAGTTTACAACAACATATATATAATAAGTCTTTAACAGAGTAATGACGTGGCATGATGTTATCATATGTTAAATTTTTAGTTAGTTGTGTTGCACCAAAAAAAATTTTAATTAGTTGTCCCATCCAAATACTTAGTGGGGCAATTTACCTCAATTTTGTATTGAAGGTTGGATCTGTCAACTATAATTAAGGGTTGAATTAGAAATTCTACCTTTATACATCAGCCAGAACATAAGATAATGAAGATAAAAATAAATAGTATACCTCTACGTTTAGCATATGGAATTGAAGAAACGGATGTCCATAACCAAATTAAAAGTAGCAGCCCATCACAAGCCTAGTTATTTATAACTAGAGGGATGCGATGCATATTTCCTAGAAGACAATCATGATTTAGGAAGATCACTTGGAGACACTTGTATATTTACTAGAAGTACTAAAAAAAAAGAAAAAAAAGAGAACTCACATTATTAATTAAGTAGCTACTAATTAATTCAGTAGAAGCAGAAATTTTGAAAAAAAACAATCAATAAAATAAGACAATTTGAAAATGAAGAATCTAACAATTTGCACTAAAACAATTTAAAACTAACAAGTATTCTAACTAGAATGAAGTTTCTTTATTAATAAGGACATGCATTGTAAGAAAATTTAGATATTTTCATTCTATATCTCAAAGAGAATATAACTGAACTGAGATTGAATATCTAGATGGTATACCTCTAGGTTTCACTGAAGAAATTGCTGGAAATGGACCCTGACTGATAGCCAAATTAGGCAGGCGAAGAAAATTTGAAATAAGAGTGAATCAGTTCAATTGCAAGGCTAATTCAGTGAGATGATAAAAAGTGAGCCAGCTAAGGAGAAAAGGAGAGAACTTGTACAAATTATAGCTGGAAATTTCCTGGAAGATGCTTGGCAAATGCCAGTGAATGAATCTGTAAAGACAATGAGAAAGGGAAAATGTTACTTTATTATAAAGTGATCAATAATAATTCGAAGGGTTGGATCCAATAATAAGCAATGTTGTCTAATAAGTCAGATTTAGAGTTAACATCTTAGGATCAACATCCAAAGAAATTATTCTTTTTGAATCATTTACATTTTTGCCCTTTATCTATTCTAAAAATAAGTTTTAATCATTTGCCTTCTATTTTGAAAAAATGTTTTTCTCAATATTCATTATTTCCAAAAAACTTTGAATTTGAAAAAGATGATATTTAGTTGAATTCTGGATGACTTAGGGATTCCTTCACCAACCTAATAAAAGCTATGCAACAATGGAAGACATTGATTTAGAATTGTTTGTTTAAGGTGATACTTTCAGCTGGAAGGCTATTTGCAAAATATTTTAACAACATATATTAAGACTTTAACGGAGTCATGACATGGTTATTTCTCTCTGTTTTGCATTGGAAGTAATTGGATTTGTCAACTATAGTTAAGAGGTGAATTTGGGCACTCTACTTTTATACATCAACGAGAACATAAGATAATCAAGATTGAAGATAAAGATAAATAGTGTACCTGCAAGTTTAACAGACGGAATTGAAGAAATGGATGCCCATAACCAAATTAAAAGTAGCAGCCGATAAGGTTAAAAATTTCATGCCTAGTTATCTATAACCAGAGGGATGCAATGGGTATTTCCTGGAAGACAAATATCATTTAGAAAGATCAGTTGGAGACACTTGAATGCTTACTAGAAGTACTCAAAAAATGAAAACTCACATTATTAACTAAGTAGTTACTAATTAATTTGATAAAAGCAGACAATTTGAAAAAAAAATTTGATAAAGCTGACAAATATTCTAATTAGAATGAAGATTCTTTGTTATAAGGACATGCATATGTAAGAAAATTTAGATATTTTCATTTTATATCTTAAAGAGAACATAATTGAATCATGATCGAAGATCTAGACGGTATACCTGCAGGTTTCACCGAAGAAATTGTAGAAGACGGACCTTGATTGGGAACCAAATTAATTAGCTAAGCCAAGAAAATTAGAAGTAGCAGTGAATCAGTTCAATTCTAGGGCTAATTCTGTGAGATGATGCAGACTGAGTTGGCTATGATGCAAAGTAAGTTGGCTGAGGAGAAGGGGAGAGAACTTGTATAAATTATAGCTGGAAGTTTCCCGGAAGATGCTTGGCAAATGCGAGTCAATGAATATGAAAAGACAGTAAGAAAGGTGCAAACTTACTTTATTATAAAGTCATCAATAATAATAACCCCAAGGTTGGATCTAATAGTAAGCAGTGTAGTACTGTAAATTAAGTTTAGAGTTCAGCTATTGAGATCAGCATCAAAAAAATTAATTTCTTTAAATATATCAGGTCAATGAGTAATGGGGTGTGCCCTTAAAATTGTTTGGGGAGGAATTAGTCTTATGCTATGAAAAAGTTGGCAGAAAATACCCTAATCGTAAATATTAAAAAAATAATATAGTATAAAATATGGGGATCAATAATTGTGCAACTGCTTCATATTATAACATATAACATAGACTTAAAAGGCTATTGGATATGGTACTTTAAAAGTAACGATTTGTGGTTTTGTCTAATTTAATGGTTGATTATTATTATTATTATTATTATTAATTTAAACAATTTTGTTATTTGAATTAAATGAAACCACCGAGTGCTAATTTCAAACTACTATGCCAAGTAACCCTTTAGTAAAACTCCCTACCATATAAAACAGATTTCTTTTAATGCATATATGCTGATGTATAATTTGATGTTTTTCAAGCTGAAAAGCTATTTGCATTGAACTTTCCATGACAGTGAAATGTGAACTGAAGAAAAACCTGTCCAGGGATAGATTAAAGACACAAGTTCTATTGCTTGGGATACTGCATGTGTTGGGAATTAAAGTTTACTTCTCATTTTACAACTCCAAATGCAAATTTCCTGGAATGTGCTTGGCAAATGCCACTGAAATGAATCTGCGAAGACATCCAATAAAGTACTACAGTGAAACAAAGACTTTGTGGAAGACTAGAATCCGAGTCGGCGAGTCCCATGCCATATTTATTAACTTATACGTTTTAATTGTATTATAAGATAGTTAACAATTTAAATAATTTAATAATAATCTCATTTCAGTAAAAATATGAGATTTTAAATTTGAATTTCATGACATACAAATGAAATGATTTAAGAAATGAGAGAAGATTGCCTCTGATTATATAACTCAATAATTATATAACTCAATAATAAAAAAAATTTATGAGTAGATAATATATATTTATGGATGGCTTTCTCAACCGCACTTTAATTTTAATTACTAATATTTTACAATTCTCAAAAAGATCCTTCTAAATCTATGTATGACTGCTTGTTTATCAACAATATGCAAAAAAAGTACTTTAAATTGTTAATTCATCGCCAGAGATGACTTACAACTAATAATTTATCTAATGGAATTTTTTGTTCTAATACTCTATCCAAGAATTATCAGTATTTATCAAATCTGTTCCTATCTGTTCCTATCTAACGGAGGGCTATTGCATCAAATGGCAAAGACATTGTTGAGAAAAAGATGGCTTTTTCCCGGATGAAATGATCATGTAAGAGGAGAAGGGTTTCCCATTTACTTAGCCGGGAAGATATGTGGCTGTGAAATGGGGATTAAGTGGAACGGAATTGACTGGGCGGTACTTTTGAAATAATTGTTACTGTTTTCTTTTTTTTCTTTTTTTTTTTGGGTCCTAGTCAAGTAACTTTTTGTAAATTAGTTTAATGATTTTATACAATAAATAAATAATAATTAAATTTTTTTTTATCAAATCAATAAGAGTTATATAAAAAAAATTAATTATCATCTATTTATTATATAAAATCATTTGATTAAATTTTATGTAAAAATCAAATTAAGATAATTAAATCAAACCGGAGAAAATACCTTTTACTTTAAAGTTGTTATAAATTAAGCATTGTTTTTCCATTTCTAAGGTAGAAAAATATATTTTTTACTTTAAATTTATCGTTATCAATTGATTTTAATTAATTATCCTATTATAATTTTTTTTATCTTTATTACTTCATTAAAGATAATATAAGGAAGTACATAAATTGTTTTTAAATATTTAATTTAGAGAAAAATAAAAAATGGATAGTTATTTTAGAATATAAAGATTATATTTTTGAGATAATAAAAGACAAAAAATACTTATACATATAGAGACAAACACAACACTCCTAAACATAACTTCATTTCAATCAAATATCAACTAATATTAAATTCAAGTTATGTGACATGCAAGTGGATGAATAATTGAATAAATTACAGTGTGCTTGGTTTGACTAACTTTATTATACTATAATTTTTTTCATAAATAACTTGTTAAAGTGTTAAGAAGAACCTAACTTATAAACTAATTTTAAACTAATAACAGTTATTAAATAATATAGTTTCAGTTATACCAAATAATTTTTTAAAGATGTTTGTCATTTTATAACCTTAATATAAAAAATTACGAGAATTGGATGTATTTTCCTTTATAATTCTTTTTTTTTTTTTAAAGAAAAGAGAGACATGCATTAACATAATCTAAATAAAGATTAGTTTTTGAGGTAACAAACTCCTACAACATCAGCTACGCATAAAAGATCCACATCATGAGAATAATTCTGCAAAATAACAAAATCATAAGAGGAGTGGGCACCCTTCTTAGCAAATGGCATCAGCAGCCATGCATGTTACACTTCCTGAGAACATGCTTCAGCTAATCAATTAAACCAATTCCCCGTTCCTCATTAATTACTCCTTTCTAATTAATTCCAAGCAAGACAAATGGGTTGTTTAATTGATGTTTCCGTAATAGTTCGAATTTCTTGGCAAACGGAGAAACTTTTCTCATGCCAAATACAGCCATGAGCTATGAGGAAAAGAGAGAGAGAGAGAGGGAGGTGGAGAGAAATTGAAGAATCCCAAACATAGGAATTATGATAAAAGAAAAGTGCATATTAATTTT